GGTGATGTCAGGAGGCATCTCTGCTTGTTCTAGCTCGGAGGTGCTGCTGGTCTGTAGTGTGCAGGCCAAGGAGGGGGCAGCACACAGGACCCCCACCACAGAATCCGCCGGCCCAGACATCAGCCACGCTGAGGGTGAGGCTGGTCTCAGGATGGCCTCGTGGCCACGGCTCACACACGGGGCTGTGACATTCCTAGAGCCCTACCCCGGACCACAGGTTGGGTTCTGAACTCAGCCCCAAACTGAGCCCTCACTGTGGTTAGTCTGAACTCTAACCCTGGTTACCTAACAAGTTCTGGTTATGGTCCCACCCTGAGTCCTAAGACCAGTCACACCCTGAGCCCTGGCCTGGGCCACTGACTGAGCCCTGATCCCGGCCACAGAATGAACCCTGACCGTGGTCACACACTGAGCCCTGATCCTGATCAGACTCAATCCCTGGCTCTGGCCACTGACTGAGCCCTGATCCTGGTCACATAATGAACCCTGACTGTGGTCACCCTCTGATTTTTGACCCTGGTCACAGGCTAATCCCTGTCCCCTGTTGTTCACACTTTGGCCGTACACTGAAAGCAGTCCCGGAGCCTAAACGGAGCCTGGATTTTCCGGCAGTTCTCCTGTCTGGGAAGTTCTGCAATAAGGGGCATGGCTCCCCACAGACCCATGCAGTCGACAGGGGCTGAGAGGTTGATGTGAGTCATAAAACTCCAGTCTCCAGTTCAGATGGCTCTGCCTGAGTTAAACACTTTCTCTATTGCAATTCCCCTGACTTGATAACTCGGCTCCGTTTGGGCAGGGGTTGAAATGAACCCACTGGGTGATGACACACTGGTATATTTTCTCCCTTCTCTTCCGCTCTTTCTGACTCTCCCAAGGGCCACAATGGGCTTGGTCCTTGAGAAGAGGCGCAAGGCTCCGTAGATGCAGCTGGGAGGGCCCCATGCATTTTGGGGATCAGGCCCCAAGATGCATGGGGGCTCCCTCCAGACAGGCCAATCCCCACTGCCCACCAAGTCCTGGGAGACCATGTGATCCCAGGTCCCTGAGGTGGTAGCAGGGTCACGCACCAGGGATGGAGCCAGCCTTCCTGGGGAGACTTTGCTGTCCCAGGTGACCCTGCTACGGGAGCTCCACTCCCATCCAGTGGCCCTAGGTCTAGTCCTGTCATGCATGTGGTATGCTCGGTGACTCAGTCTCCTCCTCTGTGAAACATCTGACTTTAGCAGGCCCAAATTCCCGCCCCACAGAATCATGTGTGGTAAAAACAGTGAGTGCGGCTTCCGTGTGACTCACCCTTGGCCTCCTTCCTCTGCTCTGCAGGTTGCCTCTTGGGACTCCAGATTTTCCTGTTCACTCTTGACCTTCCACTCACCTACCCCACCACCACGGGCCCAAAGCGGCTGGGTTCCCCAGCGATCTTGCCTTCCACCCAGTGCATGGGTGAGGCCGGGGCTAGGGCAGCCGAACCAGACCCTGGGGCTTTGGGAGCCAACTCACCTTGTGGGGAGTCCCACCACCACCTCCTGGGGGCCCCACACAGTCCCATGCAGTAACACAGATCCCTGTGTGTAAATGTTTTTATTTCATGCAGCATTAATTTAAAAAATAAAGCTAGCATGTCACTTGCAAAGCCATGCTGGGGTCAGCTTGCAGCATCTTTCTTTGGAAAAACGTCCTTGCAGATCAGGAGGAAAACCCACTACAGCTCAGATCATGGGTTGGCGGGGGCCACTGAGTGCCAGGCTCAGATCACGGGGTGGCGGGGGCACTGAGTGC